GGGCGAGGGGAGAGGATTTTAATCTTCACAGCTCGGTGCCACACCTGAGCGGGCCCTGCTACCCCAGCCTGGCCCTGCGTGCCTCTCTCCAAGGCCCCGGCCGCTCGGCCCAGTAGCCGGGCAGCGCTGCTGGCCCGGGGAGGTGAGTTGTCTTGAAGGATCGCTGAGTTCAACCAAGGCGTTGTTTCTTTTTTCTTTCAGGTTTCCTGTGTTTACGTGTGTAACCCAAAGCAAGAGTTGTTCTTGACACCTCTTCCTTTCAGTTCTTGTAAGAGAAGCGAGAAGATGGTGAATGTTCTGAAAGGTGTTCTGATTGAATGGTGGGTAGTAGCACTTTTTGTCTTTTGCTGCACTGAAGTCTACGTTTTTTCTTTAGAGCTGGAAATATTCGAAGTAAGTTAAGAGTCTCGACAAAAAAAAAAAAAGGAATTGTGAGTAGGGGTGATAACTGAACAAGCACGCAAAAGAAAAATGTAGCTTTTGGGGGAAGAAGGAGAGAGGCAGTTGTAGGTAATCCTAATTCCAAACTCCTTCAAGATTGTTTTCCACTTCTGCTTAACCATTAGATGTTCCTTCTTGTTCTTTATATTGCTTACAAATAATGGTTGTTATTGTTCATGAGCAATGTGTTTCTTTACTGATTCTAAAGGGAGATAGATAATGTTTCATCCTTTCTTTCCTGTTTTTTTTTTTATCAACTCCAGTCCAAATTCCATTCAAGGCTGACATGTAGCTCCATTTGTAGATCATACTCAAAAGGAACATATGTGTTTGTAAAAGTAAGCTTTTGATGTATGTGCAGTGAACATGTTCTTGTGCAATCTGAAGTCTCTAGACTAAGAATTAGATAACTGGTTACCTCCAAAGTAAGCAGAAGCATCAGTCAAGATTCGTGGGGTCATTGCATAGCATTGTATGACATATTTCTATTGTATGCTTAGACTGTAAACATGTTATCGGATTATAACTGCACAAAAGCAGAAGAACTTTGAACCTCTTCTGATGTGCCTGTGTGGTGCATATAGCTATGAGCTTGCAGCAGCCAGCATCTGAGCTGACTGGACATTAGCCAGCTGAAGTCTGGATGTCTAATGGCTATGTATAAGCAGTTCAGAACCTAAACTCTGCTATGACAGAAAGCTTGTCTTCTCAAATTTGACTTCATGCTAGTACATTGACAAACCTTCTGAAGCACGAGAAATTGCTTGCTTGCAGCTGACGTATGTAGAGATGCCTAGGCAAGAAGTAGAGACTGACAAGGCAAGAAGTTCTAAAATCTCAAGCAGTTAGCAAAATATCTTATTTTGTACCTTATGTGTTTATTTTATACATACCTAAAGATCTGTGTGTTTTTATTCAGCTCCGTGGCCACATCCCACTTAGTATTAACATGGACCTTAATCATTCTCCCTGGAAGGGAAGAGAATTTTCTATCTGATAACAAATCTACAGCATTTGTTGTGCTATCAGTAGTCCCCTGGGAAACTGGCCTTTGAGTTGGTTTTGCTAGCTCTTGTGGGTTTGGTTTTGTTTGTTTGTTTTCTCCTCATAAGGGTAGCCCATGATTGAGCACAAAATTCCATCCTAGGAGAAGATGCAGATTTACGATAAACCTGTCCCCTTGTTTACACTTCAGATACAAATTTGTTAAAGCCCCATTTTCTGTGGATGTTATAAGATACCAAATGGACAGGGAGTGGGGAAAAAAAAAGACAGTTCTGAATATGTAAATCATGCAAATAAAATAGTGAAGTGTTGTACAGATCTCGTTTTCCATATTCTTCCAATAAATAGTTAAACTGTTCCAAAGATACCATATCAAGGATTATAATCTTCAAGTACTGTGATGAGATCAGTGTTTCTGCTGTGACATACATCTACTGGCACTGATTATAGCTCTGTATGTTGACTGTGTGAAAACTAGTCTCTAGATATGGCCTAACATAATACAAGCCAGTCATACCAGCTAGGGCAACAGCTTGTGCCATCTAGTACTACTAATGCAAGTCACTAAGGTCCAGATGAATAAAAAAAGCAAAAAATAAACCTCTCTGCACCCATCCAAAAGGAGATGCGGAAGAATGCTGGGAGCCACATAGTTCTAGTATCTGATTTTTCTCAGCTCTTCTGTTTCTCCTTTGTTTCTCTTCTTACATGCCAGAGCATGTAAACAGTGGCTCTTCTAGAGAAGATACAGCTTCCAGACTTTCCCATTCTCCTTTCCTCAGAATTACTTTGTACTTTGAAAACTCATCTTATTGTCATGCTTCTGCAGGTTTGAGGCTAATATTAAAGACTGGGTTTAGAGTTGCTAGATAGGGGGCAGGGGAGGGGTTTGGTTTCATAGTGCATGTCTTTGCACCATATATACTTTTAGGTGAGGGAGACTCGGTCCTCGTACTGTGTTTAAAAGAGAGAAGATTAACCAAAGAATTCTTTTAAGACTTACTATGTTATTAAGAATTCTTTTTAAGAGTTAGTATATTGCCAAAACAACTATGTTCATAATTTTGGAAGTGTCCTGAGCTATCTGGTTCCAATTTCCTGTATTTCTTGTGTATACTCTTCACCAGTTGTTGCAATCAAATGCTAAGTTTTACCAAGTTTTTCCTGCTTTGTAAAAAAAACCAGTGTCAGAATAATACTGAATTCTTCAAAATTTCAGTGGATCAGAGCTTATATTTTGAAGCCACTTTATCTAGCTGCTTAGTATAATGCAGCTGTTTCAGTTACCTGTAATTTCCATACTTCCAAAATGTTTTCTTCTAAACACTTAAACTTACAGGGTGACATCGTGAAAAAGAGACTGTTCAGTTATGGTGTGATAAACGTACAATTCATACGTGACCGCTTTTTCTCTGTGCTATACTACTTTGAGTGAGGCCTGTGTTCTCTTGCATTTCTGTTACCTTGAAATAAAAATATGCTTTAAGAAAATATGTGTTTATGGTGCTGTTTCTGAAGATAGAAATAGATAAGTTCAAACTTGCCTCATTAAGATTGTCTGTTTGTTTGAAGCTACTTTAACAGCATCAAAGGGGCGCTTCTCTGCCAATCAAGTAGCTAGTTTTTCTCTTTAGACTTCTTTATCACTTTATTTTTATCTCTAAAGTAACCCAAGCAATTGTCATTGCGAAAGAAACAACTTTTTCAAAAGCTTCATAAAATTTCTTTAAATCGTGAGCAACTCTTGAAATGAATATTAATCTCCCAAGGAACTTTGGGAGTGTCTTCCAAGGATGGGGGTTTGTTTGTTTGTTTTTAACTGTATCTTATTACAATGAGGTGGGATCTGATGTGTGTTTGTCTCTACAGTGACCCAGCAATGAAGCAGTTTCTGCTCTACTTGGATGAGTCAAATGCATTGGGAAAGAAGTTCATCATACAAGACCTGGATGAAACTCATGTCTTTGTATTAGCTGAGTTGGTTAACTTCCTCCAGGAGAGAGTGGGCGAGTTAATGGACCAGAACTCTTTTCCTATTACTCAGAAGTAAAAAGACTAAAGAAATGGGATTACTGCAAGTGTTGGAATAGTGAACGTCAATAGCTTGGGTTGTTACTGTTCTCATAGATACACTGTGGTTAGTATGTTCTACGTGGAAGTGGCTACTCTAGAAAGCAGATAATTTTCATAGATAAAATACTCTTGAATTGGATTTTATTGCTCATTTTGAAAAATTATGGTATTTTTATTAAAATCCTTAAAATTATGCACTTGAGGACTTGCGTAGAGAATTTTTGATGCATGCTCTGTTTTTTCCTTTAGGATTTTTATCTTGCAAGATGGTATGACCCAAAAATTAGAGTAGTGTTTCTGTGTTGGAATGCTATATGAACACCTCTGACATGTTACATTCCCGTGGAATTAATTAAATATGGTTATAGTGTGACTGATAGACTGTAAAGAATGTTAAAGTATGATCTGTGCTTGATGGAACCTCTCTGCAAACTGAAGGCATGGTGAGATACTGCTTTAACTTAATGGTGTTTATACACCAAAATGAAAGTTGGTGTGAGTTTTCTTTTTGTTTTGGGGGGGTGGTGTGTGTGTGTGTATTTTTCCCAAACATTTTACAGATGCCCTGTGCTACTTGCCTACTTTTACCAAGGCTGTGCTTTCTGTGTTGTTCTGGGTTTGGGGAGTGGTGGTGGGGCTCTACAGTCTGGAGGGGAGGGCGGCACAACAATGTCCATTACCCCAGATCAGCTTACAATTAAAATGCGATGATTACTTGCATATCAACAAAATCAAATTAAAGGGGTAACATAAATGGGACACCAATCCTTTAGATACAATTGTTTGTATTTTTCCACTGAGGCTAATACCCAGTCACAATAAGCTACGTGATCAGGAAGGGGGAATAAAAGCCTTGGTTGCTCTACCTGTGAAGAAGAAGAAAGCTGGGTGGGTTGGTTTGTTTGTTTGTTTACGGCGTAGCTCTTCCTCCCCTATTGCACTTTGCTGCAAAGGAAAGGTCTCATAGTTTTATAGGGAGTTTTTACACTGTATTTGTAACTATCTCAGACACTGGCTTATTTAGTAAGTGAGCTAGTGCATGATGATAAAACCAATGAATAATTCTGTCTACAAATATGGCAGATACAGGTAGCAGAAAAAGAATATCATGTATTACCTTTTCTCTTGGCTGACTTCCTACTCAAAATAGTCAAATTTATTGAATCTATAAGTAATCATTTATAAAGACTTATAGGACATTACTTCAAAGGGAAGCTTGGTTTTCAGAGCTGCTCATGTACATAAGATAGATACCGTCTTGTTATCTTTGGGGGAAAACCAAATGTAAATAGAAAGACTTTTATAAGGAACAGGTTTTTTTACTGACCTTCCCACCGTTGTTTTTTTTGTTGTCCAGTAGATATCAGATTAGTTGATGGTTTTGATTTGTTGGTGTCGTTTTTGTTTGCTTTTTTTTTCTGCAGGAATAGGGAAGCTTCAGGAGGAAGTTTCATTAGATGTTTCTAATCAAAAAGCTGTCCAAAGAAAGTTCTGCAGAATTGCATATATTTTGGCTCATGTGGATGAGCAAATAGCCCTGTGGAATTTAGCTTCATGTAGTTTCTGGCACCCCCCCTTCTCTCTGACCATACAGAACAATGGGTTTTGGTCCAAGTTATTTCATCTTTCCTTTGCAGGTGGGTGCTTCCCTAGTCACGTAGGTTAAGAATCGACTACACATCTTCACTTGAAATAAAAAGTTGAAATCTTTTATGAATGGTTTATGGTTCCTTACCTCTTTCTTGATATTGGTCAAGCATAACTGTCATTTTGTGGAAGATTATTGGATGCTCATATAATGGAGAGATAATCAGTAGTCTTAACATGGCATGATAGCTTAATGTGATTTATTTAGAAGTGTCTTGTATCCTTTCTTTGGAATCCTAGTTTATTTTCCACCCAGATTTTGATGAAAGGTAAATGATCCCTCATTCTCTCTTCAAATGACAGTGTTTGAAGTCATGTTAGAATCACACCTGTTAAACTTCTATTTATGTCTCATGCTACATTTCTATTCTGATTTTCCATTTAAGTCTATGATAAACTTCTTGCAGTTCTTTCCCTCCTGGTTAATTGTACAGCTTTACTGTTGCATTACCTGTGTTCTAGCCTGTATTTCTAGTGATAAATGGCTTATGTAATACAGAGGGATAGAAGTTCCAAACGCTATAAACTAAAGTTAGGTGTGCGTTCTTATACTATTTGCTCTCAGTCTTTTTTGAGCAAACATGTTTATGGATTTTAACATCTAAACCTGTCAGGACTTAGATCATTCCTGCAACCTAACCAGGCCTAACTTATTCTATGCTGGAAGAATGGACAGCAGATATAAAGAAGCAAATTGGTATCTCCTTATGGGGTCTAAGGAGCTGGGTTCTGTGTAGTTTCTAGGGAAAAAAGGGTCTTGAATCGTGTAGTATGGTTAAAGAAATCCAGTGAGGAAGCTTTTAGAACTTGAGTATGTATATGTATTAAAAAAAACCCCAAACACCTAAGGGTTTCTGGGGTTGAATAAACTTGGACCCCAGATAGCTTGATTTTTGTTCTTCTTTCTTTAAATGCATGTAATCTGGAACTTGCATGCTTTTAAAAATGCATGTATATGTATATCCCAGATGGGAGAAAAGTAGTTACTAACTTAAATATCAAGACATTTTGAGATAGTTAACGTTTACACTTACAGATTTTAAATGTTTTTGCTGGCTTTCATTTGGGTGTGAAATACTATTGGTGAGTGGAGCTCAGAATGAGATATTGTGTTAAGGATATCTTTTTTTTAAAGGCTGGAAGCATATGAGAATAAATGGTTAAGGAGATCTGTTTAAACGTATACGTGTTTTGCTAATAGAGTTGATATGGTGAGAACATTAGCTCTCACTGTATTTGGAATATGATATGTTAATTTAACATTTCTATCCATAGCTAGTAAGTTTACCTTTTCTTGCTGGTGTCTAGCATAGGAACTATACTCTGCCCAGGTCCTGCTTGAGCAGCAAAAATAGTTTGAATGACAGACTTCTAGTTGAAGCAGCGAATTTTATTTTGATGGGCTTTCACTGCTAAGAGTTGAGCTGGTGTTTCTGCTTTCAGCCTGAGTTGAAAATATCGTGTTTGCTGGAGGAAGAGCATGGTAGAATAATTACCTAAAGGACACTTACTTGAACTTAATTTTTTTTTTCTACTTATTTATACTTAGCTCTTAAAAAGCTTGCAAGTTCACTTGTTAGTGTTTTGTGACGTAAACAGTTGCTCTTGGGTAGTTACTGTGACTTTGAACAGGCTTATAAATACCACTTTCATCAACACAAATGCAGAAGCTAGAGAATAATATTTGACAGAAAGATGAGAGAGATCTCTAAAGCAAGGTAAGGAATTTGAACAATGCAGACAAAGTATTTATGTTAAATGGGAAGAAAGGGTTGGAAACTGAAAATACAGCTTCCTGTTAAAGCAATAGCACCTCATTTTTTTATTGAAAATTACACTATTTGGTGTTTTGGTTTTTGTTCAAGCCTTAGATTATTTTTTTAAGTTTGTTTATTAATGGTCTTCAAAGAAAGGTGTGTAATATGACCATAGTGTACCACAAAAGCAAATAAGCCTAAATGCAGTCACATATTCAGATACTTCTAGAAATTGTGCGATAAGCTAATTCTGGAGGGTGGGGTTTTTTTTTAACGTAGGGGTTGGCAGTGTGAGGGAGATGACCCTGAGTTAGTATAGATAGGGATTATAATGAATTTCTTAGCTTGTTTGAATGCGTAAGTCCCTTTCCTTTTCTCCAGTGCAACAGTTAGCTCAGGGAGAATAATTGTCCCGTGCAGTAAGGGAGGAAATAACCAACAATCAGTAGAGAGAATGGATGTGGCCTCAAGAAAGAAAACTGTTGAAAGAAAATAGAGAATGCTTCAGAGAATTCCACCGTTTTACCTGAGAGAATCCAGATTGAGTGGATTTTACTTTGTAGCTAAACTGCCAGTGTTGTTTCATAAAAAGGTAGGCACCTGAATCCATTTGGAATGAAGAATAAGTGTGTTTTTATTTGTTTAGAAATTTGATGTGCTTGTAATGATAGCTTGATTTTTGTTCTGTGTAGCACAGTGCTGAGAGCTGGATGGGTAGTGTGATGTGCTATGCAAAAACCTCTCCAAGTGCTGTTGTACAATTAAGAAAATGTATTTTACAGTCTTTCCAGAATTGTAGGGTGTATTCAAAAGCATATCTTCTGATTCTTTTTTTTTTTTAATGTGGTGTAACAACAGATTTTACTGTTTGTTTTTTTTTTTTTTTTCTCACTCAGGTTAACTCTGCAGGGCCACCTCAAGTATGTGAGAACAAACTAGAGGACATGTATTTTAGAATCATAGAAGCACTTTGGTTGGAAAAGACCTTTAAGATCATCGAGTCCAACCGTTAACCTAGCCCTGCTATCCCACCGCTAAACCATATCCCTAAGCCCCTCATCTATCCTTCTTTTAAATACCTCCAGGGATGGGGACTCAACCACCTCCCTGGGCAGCCCATTCCAGAGCCTGACAACCCTTTTGGTGAAGAAATGTATTTATTTATGTATTAACAAGACTGTTTACTGTGAATTGAAGCTAACGGTATTTCATGGTGTCATTAAAGTGACATTTTAACTTTTCTTAGTTGGCACCATCACCATGAAAGCGTCCAATTTCAGTCAGTTCCTAGGTTGATCTTGCAAAAGTAAGGCTCTAAAACCCATTCATGTATGTATATAAATTAACAAGTTTTTAATCATATAAACCAGCACGGGCCAAGAGATACCTTTTTTTTTTTTTTTTTTTTTTTTTTACTTCCAACCAGGCAGTAGGCCGTTGAAGAAAACAGTAAGCTTTTGTAATAAATCTTTTTACAGTTTGCAATTCCACAACAGATCCTGATCCGTTTCCCACACTGACTTGTTGATTATCCCACAAATGATCCCATTAAAGCTGGTGGTGGTTACTGTGAAATGAGGTGTTACTCAGTATGTCAGAACTGCGTGTCCATGTTTGTTTTGTAATTCAGACTTTGGCAAGGCTTACATGTGCTATACAAAATTAAGGATTCAATAAATTGGTGAAGTTCATAATGATGGAAGAACAAATTCTTCCTAAACGAAGTCATCATCTT